CGATCTGTCCAAGACGCCTTGATGGCCTCCAGACGGCCCAAGAGGCCTGCAAATCGCCCCAAGAGGCCTCCAGGAGCTCTCCCACGAGAGCCCCCAGAGGCAAAAATCATTGATTCCCCATACGTGTTTGAAAGATTTTGGCGTTCTTGCCTGTTCCGCTTCCCGACGCGCCAAGACGGCCCAAGAGGCCCCCAAGAGGGTCCCATAACGGCCGAAGAGGGCCCCAAGACGGCCCAAGACGCCTCCAAGACGGCCCAAGGGGCCCCCAAGACGGCTCCAGGAGAGTGTCCAGACGGGGGACCCGAACGGACATTTCAAGCTCTCAGCCCCAAGAGGCCCCCAAGAAACCCCGAAGAAGCCCCAAGAGGCCCCAAGAGGCCCCCAAGGGGCCCCCAAACTGCCCCAAGACAGCCTAGGAAAGCCCCAAATTGCCCAGAAGGCCTCCAGGAGTGCCTCGAGACGGCGCAAGAGGAGCCCTGGACGGCCCAAGACGGCCTCAAGAGAGCCCCAGGCTGTCCCAAGAAAGCGTCTGGCCTCCTCCTCTTCCTCCTCCTCCTCCACCCCCCCCCTCTGCTCCCCCTCCTCCTGCTCTCCTCTGCCTCCTTCTCCTCCTCTTGCTTCTCCTCCACATCCTTCTCCCCCCTCCTCCTCCCTCATCCACCTCCTCCACCCTTCCTCCACCTCCCACTCATCCTCTTCCCCCTGCCCCCCCCCTCATTTTCATCTTCGTCGTTCTCAGGGTCGGCGGCACCGGCCGTAAGGCCTTCGCAATAAAAGCCCAGCTATGCGAGGGACTATACAAAGAGTCAACTGTAATGACGAAAAGGTGATCCCGAACTGCACCGGGAAATTCGAAAGGCATGCAAGTCAGTAGTCGAGCGCGTCGACGTCGATTCGCGCATCACGAATTCGTTGCCGATGACGCCGCAGGAAAACAGAACACTACAGAGCAGACCTAAGCAGCGCACGCCTGGGACACGATCCACAGACCAGGGTCTCTCAGTGGGTCTCCCAAACCCGCACTGAGAGGGTCTACGTCCTCAATGGGTCTCTCACCCCCACAATTAGACGTCCGCCAGGCCTCGGAACCTGGAGCGCAGAAGCGCCGAGTCCATCCTGACAAGAAGTGAACCTTGGCCCTGGCGCCAATGAGTGCACTGCAACATCTACACGATAGCGTCAAACTCACCAGAAGCAAACACCAGCGGTCCCAGCGCGGTGGCTGGGTCGACAACGACCGTGGATAAGCGTCTCCCTCATCTCCCCCAAGTGCGAGGGTCTGTAAACGCGACCGTAATGCCTGCGTGACCTCTCACATCCACAGACACAGCCGATCGCCCCGGCCACATGACATGAGGTACACAGCCATTCATGAGAGCGTAACCGCGGTGCCGAGCCGAGACCGCGTGGAAAAGAAGACGTCGCAAGGCCAGAGAGGAAATAATACCAGTCATCCCCCCTCCAGCTCGAGGAGAAGGAGGAAGGACAAACCAAAGCAGAGGTGGCAGCAATAACAGGCAGAATGGCAGCAACAGCGGCAGCAGAGACGCGGAAGCGAGAGAACTGGCCTCCGCGGCGAACGACGAAGTGTCGCTCTCAGGGAAGGCGATGATTTTCGCCTCATCCTTTGTAAGCTTCCACCTCGGCGTCACTGAGATCCTCCTCGCTTTCCTCCGACGCTGCTCAAGACAGTCATTAACGAGCGGAAACGGCTCATCATCCTCACGATAACAGGTCTGAGCAGCACCCAGCTAAAACGGAGAGGCCTGAGCTGGAGGCTCCACCACGAAGTCCTTGGGGCGTGCGATATTATGCGGAAGCTCATGTTCGAAAGATGACTACCCGATGACACCCGAAGTGAACAATGGGCCATTCGCGGTGCCACCCATTATGCACGAGGCTGGCCTTGTGGTAGATTCTCCACGGCAGCACGCCTGAGTTGTACCGTTTCAAACTGGCTTGCGCAAGCTCCAAACATCTCTTTCAGAAGGTATGCTGCCAGTGCGTGGACTGAACCAGTGGTTTGTGCAAGCTACGCGGTGTTAAGATGAGGTCCCAAGAGCATCGAACTCTGTACAAAGGGCGCGCTGAGTCTTCGGATTCGACACAAACAGCTGGTACAAGCGTATGTCGTATACATGTATCGCCTATACACGGCTTGATCCCCGTCTTACCCGTGCGTACTGCCCTACAGCGTCAATGCATACTGCGCAAATGTCGGTGCGACTGCGTAAGTCCACACAAGCAGTTTACACAGACAATACCTGCGCAGTGCAATCTACACTGCCGAAGTTGTACCAGTCGCAGTGGCAGATTTTATAGTACTACTCCAACTGCAATTACTACGACAACCACGACTGCTGCTCTACTCATGTTACCACTGCTGCCACTACTGCTCCCGCTAACTCCAGAACGGGGTTTGACAGCCCCACCTCTGCTGCAGCCGTACCAGTGCTGATCCCGCTCGAGGGCTTGAGCTTCATTCGACAGGCGGAGCTTTTCTTTTTTCACCGCGCTTCGGCCCCGGGGCGGCGAAGAGAGGCCCAGAGCAAGATGGTCGGTAGCGAATCCAGCCGTCGCGCCAGGCAACCACGCGTTCTCGCATCGCGCAAGCGCATGGGGACGACTGATCGCGTGTGGCGCACGGGCTTGCGCAGGCGCAACCACAGCGCAAGCGCAGGACAAAGTCCCAGCTGGACCCCGCGGGGTAAGATCGCCCGGCGGACGTGGCGACTAGCCAGGCCCAAGAGACGAGAGCGGGCGAGGAGGATGACGACAAGGAGGACGAGGCAGGAGAGAAGCCGAAGGGGGCGCTCTGGTCCCCATCCGGAGGGGACGGTCAAAACAAAAACAAAAACAAAAACAAAAAAAAAAAAAACGTGGCGCCTGACCGAGGCGAGGCCAGGGCGCGCGTCGCGCGGGGGCGCACGGGCCTCGCTGGCGTTGAGGAGGTTGTGAGGCCCGCCGAGATGCCAGCCGCTTGATCAGCAGCGGCTCGGAGCAGCCGCAGACGAGCACTCGAAGCGCGGCTGGGTGGGTCACGCGACGATGGACAGGCGACTCACCATGGTCTTACCGTCGACGACGGCGACGAGGGTGTTGCCAGCATTCCTCACGCCATGCTCCTCGGAGTGCTTCGCCATCAGATCCTTCACCTTCTGCATCCCAACCTTGGCCTGGAACGCGGCCTTGCGGCCCTCGTCCTTGCCGACGAGGTCGCACAGGGCCCAGAGCGCCTGCTCCACCACCGAGGGCACCCCCCTGTGGCCGTCCATCGCGCCGCCGATGAGTGCGAAGCCGTCGCCCTCGGCAACCAGCGCCGCGCTGTCTGGGCTCGAGGCGCACATGGTCTTCAGGCCCCGCAGCGCATGCTCCTGCACGCCAGGCGACGCGGGATGCCTGCCCATGCACTGCAGCAGCGCCTGGCACACCCCCAGCACGGCCATGTCCTTCTGGGTGTTCGGCTGGCCGTGCGCCAGGACGTGCAGCGCCCAGCAGCCCTCGCTCTGGAGCCCCACGTCGTCCTCGTGCCGCCGCATGGCATTCAGGATCGCCGCGGCGCCCCCGGACACGGCGATCCGGGTCTGGTTCGAGGAGTGGGCCGTGGCAAAGGTGCGCAGGCACGCGCACCCCCGCTCCTGAAGCTGCGCGTCCTCCACCGCGCCGGACATCGCGACCAAGACCGCGGCGATGCCGCCGAGCGCGCCGACCTTCACCTTGTTGGGGGGACAGTTGGACGCAAGCGCCAGCAGGGCCGCGCACGCGGCCGCCTTCAAGCTGCCCCCCTGCTGACCGCCCCCCGCCTTAAGCGCCTGGATCACCGCCTTGAGGCCCCCGCAAGAGGCCACCTTCGACTGCCCCGCTGGCGTGCACGCGGCGGCCTTGAGGAAGCGGCAGCCGCTCTCCTGCAGCGCCGCCGCGTCGGGCCCCGAGTGAGCCTCCATCGCCTCCACCACGGCCTCCGGGACGCCCAGCGCGAGCAGCTGGTCCGGCTCGTCCTGGTGCAGCTGCAGCGCCTCCAGGCGCAGCAGCCCCGCCGCCCGCACCTCGAGCGTGGCGAAGAGGCCCATCGCCTTCAGCACGTCCTGCAGCGCCAGGCGCGGCATCTTCCTCAAGGCGGCCTCCGCGTCGTCGCCGTCGGCCACCGACGGCGGCTTGCCCCACGCGGAGTCGCCCAGCAGGGTGGGGCGCCAGGCCGCCAGCGGCTCGATGTCCTCGCGGTCGACCACGGACGCGCACAAGCCCATGGCTTGCTCGGTGGCGTAGGAAGTTCGGGCGGCTGGGCTGGCGGAGGGGCCCTCGACCGAAGGGGGGAGCTCTGAGCGTTGACGCGGCGGATCCAAAGCTGCTTGAGCCAGAATACTCTAGCTGTTCCCTGGTGCAGGCGGCACCGCGCCCGGCAAAGAATTCACCAGAAGCCTACCCCAGTAGCGTGATGAACAGTGTCGTATGGCTCCTTTGAAAGGGAATCCACAGCATGACCTCCCTGTGCCACCTCGAGGTTGTGCCGCCATCCAAGGCAACCGCACTTCGGCCGTGGTCGAAGTCATTATGGCCCCCAGCGGTATACACGTATACAGACGATCACGCACACACACACACACACACTACAACCCTTGCCCGCAGCCGTTAGCATGAATCGCCATCACGACTCGTCCACAAACTCATGGCATGATGCCACCGTCTCCTGCCCGGGTGCCACAGCAACGTCTGTCGCACATCTTTCCTTGCGGTTGGGAACCTCGAACCTCCGGGTGGTGGCGCTCCACAAATTGAGCTCCCGCCCATGGGGCCAAAAAATCGGGCATGCGCAAGCAAGACCCAAGTCGATAATTATCTTCCCCTGGTGGAGGCAGGCCCAACGGGAACCAAGTGGCCCTGGGGAACCGGGGACCTGGGGACCATGGGGACTCCAGGACGACGACGACGACGATGACGACGACGACGGACGACGACGACGGATCAAGCCTGAGGACCTGCCGGACCCGCGCAACCAACGCGTGGCTGCCCGAGCTCAACCAGACCCTCCAGAGGGCGCGGGGTCCCAGGCCGCAGCCCACCTCGGCGGGCGTCCGCCACAGAAGACAGCACGAGGTGCTGCGGCAGTGATGCAACGGTCGTCATCGCCGTCGTCGATGACCAAGGCCTTCAGAGTTTCTGGCCGGCTCGGACGTCCTTGGGGCGTTACTGCGGGGTGTTGGGGGCTTCAGGTGGGGGCAGGGGGAGCTGCCCTACTCATGCAGGTGGGGGGATAGGACTCCAGCCGCAGAAGATCTACACGGGAAGCTCGGGCACCCGAAGCCCAGAGACCTCGACGGCTTCGCAGCCTGGGGACCCTGGAGCGCTCCTTGCGGACCTCCCTGAGCCCCTGAGACACACAGAGAACCCGACAAAACGCGGACGAAGTCTTGATGCGCGCCCCCGCTGTGTCGCATCCATCGTTTGGAAGCGGCCTGGGCTCGCTTCACGCTTGCAAGGACGTCGACGACGACATGCCATGCTGCCCGCGCGCCTCTGCACAAGCGGCGCTGAACGAACCTCGAGCACTCTCCGCCCCATTCCATTGCACGCCACCGAACCGGCAAGGTACAGTCAACCCATGTAGTAAGGATGCGAGGGCCTTGGAAAGCCATGTTGACGTTTTTCGAGTGGGGCTGACCAGAGAAAGTTGCCAGGGATGGGCCAAAGGGGCAAGGATGCAAGGGTAACGTTGGAAAGTTGCTCATTCTTAGTATGCGGGTTGACTGTAGTGAAGGGGTGGAAGTCGAAAACAAGCTGGTAAGCTTAGGTATGTGTTACGCTTTAAGCGTTGCCATATCCCAGGCTTTGGCTCATATCGCATGAGCAAGAGAGCAAGACGAAGCATGGGATCTGGAGTAAAGGATAGGATGGGCATCGTCAATGGAAAAGGTATTTTCCGATCTCAGATACAAGTCGTGCGCCTCGGTGAGGCACAATCACATATTTGGCCGGGCCCGGCTTGAGCCAGGCACGGCAGCGGTACATGCTCGATTTATACCTCGCCTTTAACCTTCTCCGTTTAAAGTCGGAGGGGGAGGAGACGAGCAGGCACCGCACTTCTACATTATGCGGAAAAACAGTGCTAAGCAGCAGCGGCTGCCTACAAGGAAAGGGCGCGCGAGTAGCCTCGCTACCGGCGAGTTTCCTCGCTATTAAAGCGCACCTGCCCGCGGGTTTCCCCGCTAGCTCGGGAGGCAGGGCCGTCCTGAGACGACCTGCCCGCCCTATACGGTGTATGTTTCTTCAGCTCGTGCTTGAAGGATTGCTGGCCGGCCATTACTTGTAGGAGCAACGCGCGGTCAATACTACCTTTGGTATGACCATCGGCAGTCATATCCCGCGTGTCACACCATTGAACGCTTTCAACGATTCCGCGCTCCATCATCTGGCGGATCCAGCTAATGTGCCCAAGCAGAGTACATTCTGTGGGCTTCTTCAGATCTTTGCTAGACAAAGACTTGAAGACAGACTCGGCATCAATAGTCAGAGTGACTTTGATACATAGACCACCCATTTCCAATATGTTCTTTAACTGTGTGGGGGTCAATGGTCCCGAGTGTAGCTCGTGGAGCGTTACAATGGTCGGGTAGCAGTCTTCCAAGTTGTGGGCTGCTGCCAGTGTTTCCGCAGAGTAGCTCGAACGCACCTGCAGTCGATGAGACTTGCAGTATGCGTCCACCAGGTGCACGACGGGTTTCCCCGCTTGCGTGTGGCCACGCCTCAGCAGGTTAGCCCCGCGGATACCATAGCCTTTGACTTCGTCGTCTTCATCTCCGTTGAGACGACGATAGCCAGAATCGCTATGCAGGTCGACTTCTCCTGTTGGGGTCATAGCTTGATACACGATCTTCTTCGGACCTGCCTGTAGTTTTCTGGTAACCGCGTTTAGTCGTCGTACCTGGATGTTTGTCGGTTCCTGGATACGTTGTAGTGAGACAACATAGACCATCAGCCATACCTGCGTGATCAACGCATAGGCTAGAGCGCCACGAAGACTGACGAACATGTCAGAAATCGTCTTTGTCGCTTTGCTCTCAGGATCAGCTCCTGTGAGTTCTGGATGTGTGATAGGACGAAGCTGTTTGATGTATTCGTCCTGATCAAGAGTGACGCTCCCATCATCGGTCTTGTTATACCGAACGGCACAGTTTGTGTATGTGTGCTTGTTCAGTTTGCACTTCCCAAACGTATCTTCAACACACTTGACATACTTGTCAATAGCCTCTTCCTTCCCAGTCATATTGATGTCATCAACGTGCTTGGCTGTCAAGAGGTTTGAGCTCATCTCGAACTCTTCGTCGTATGACGTAGGCTGTAGCCCAAAGCTCCTAGTGATGGACCTGAGCTTCAGCGAGAATGCCCTGGGAGCATCCTTCGTGCCCGTCCCCGGCTTCAGACACCGAAGACAATGCTTTGATTCGTCATATGACTCAAAGCCTGGCAGTGTGCGAAGGACAGCTGCTGACCCAGGAGGTAGCGTGAAGCACACCACACGCTCTTTTCTCGCCCGTTGCCGCGGCGAGCTCGCTATAGGTCAGCCCCTTCAAGAAAGCCATGTTGATGTCCAGGGAAGCGATGATCCAAGCTTTGTTGCATGCAGCAGAACTTGCGAGCAGTCTCTGGCTTGACCTCCTTGCCGTGCCAGAGAAGGTTTCGACATCAAAGGCTTCAAGGTCCATGAAGCCACGGAGTACCAAGCGTAACCTGATCGTCCTTTCCATTTCGCCCTTTTCGTTCTTGACAAACTTCCATTTGTATACGTAGCGTGAAGTCATGATGTTAGACGCTTTGCTCAAGTCAGTCATCTGGAAGCATTTGTTGTCAAGCCAAGTCTTCAATTCTGTGTAAAGGGCTTTGGAAACTTTGACCGGATTTGCTTGGATGTCGGCCTTCGTGAGTAGAACGTCTTCCTTGACGACCACGGCACGTTTGGAAGCAGCACTAACGTATACTCGCATAGTTGTGACGCTGCTGTCATCCAACAATCGGCGTTGCTGCTCGGACAGGACGACTTTGGACATGTCTGCTGTGAAGCAGAGCTCGATGTACTTCCCGTGCTCATCGGAGTCCAGATCATATTTGCTATCCGGATCCGTGGAGCATAAAGGAACGTAGTAAGAAGTGTCCATGTCGTATCCTGGCGGGTGACCCCGCTCCGGCAAGTGGCCTTGCACATCTTCACAGGTCGTAGAGACTAACACACACTGTGTGTCTGTCATGTATGTGGGAACTGTATGCATGACTTCTTCTGTGTCAGCTTCAAGGAGTGTTCTGTCATCCATCAGTTCAGCATACCACGACTTCAAGACAAAGGCATCCAGATCTTCTTCTGTTTCCTCTATGATGGTCGGGAGCCGACCATCGTTCTCCGCAGGAGGCTGCTCAGGAGCAGCTGCTGGAGGTGACTCGCTTGGTGGTGGACCATCAGCGAGTTCCTCAAACTTAGTGAGGTCTCGGTCAAATCCAGCAGGCGGCTTCCTGGATTTAAGACACTGGATGATGCGTGAGTGTGTAGATCCTGTGATGTCGTAGATGTTCAAGGCAGTGCCATCAGCTTCATAGTAATGAAAACCAGGGGTCACATCATTATCATAGTGCACTAGTGTACAGCTGTCTGCATAGGGTGCAGCAGGCAACTTCGTCAGGCTCTTGGCAAGTCGTACAGCAACAACGTTTTCAATACGAAAGTAGTTGCGTATGAGGTACTGAAGAGCCAAGTGCACCTTAGGCGAAAGTCGGCTCGCAGCAGTCATCTGCAGCCGACCCTGTTTCGCTGGTAGATATCCGAAAGTCATGGCGGGTTTCCCCGCTGGCAGACCGGCAATAAAGGCCAATACTGTCCGAAGGGCCGTATTGTCCGATCCTATCTCGCGGACCATAAGTGCTTCGATGTACAGCGTGTGTCGTGTGTCAGGATACTGTACTCGCACCTCGCGACTACCGACCTTCACGATGACCTGGCCTCGGTCAGGTTCGTTGCGGATGACCGGGTATGGACCACTCCATCCACCCCAGTCGTCTTTCGTGGTGGTCGGGCGATGATAGTCCACGAGATCTCCCTCTTTGTAGTGAAATTCACCCGTAGCAGTAGTCTTCGTACGGAGAGCCCTGTTCGTCTTGGCAACCGCAGTGGCCTGCGTGATTGCCTCCAGACTAACCCTCCTGATTGTTTCCTCCCTTGAGTGATCTGATGATTCAGCGGACTGATCATGATCCAAGACAGGGAAATCGGGAAGCATAGCTGGTTGTCTGCCATACAGCGCATTGTACGGAGACACTTCATTGTAGAAGGTAAATGCGTTGCTGGCAAACAAGGCTTCATGTAAAAGACGAGTGAAATTCATAGGAATATTTAATCTATTCAATTCTTCTCCCATCACGTGTATGAGGTGTCGCAGGATGCCGTTCCTAGCTTCGATAGTCGTGGCGTGTTGGCCACGCGCTCGGATACGAAGCTCTGTTCCCTTAGCCTTAAGGATGGCCTTTGCTGTATCGTTATTCAGTGCTCCTTCCCCATCGGAGTAT